TCCAGAAGTGACGCTTGGCATTCAGGCCAAAGAGTTCAATCTTGGTTTCATCAGACCAGAGAATCTTGTTTCTCATGGTCTGAGAGTACTTTAGGTGCCTTTTGGCAAACTCCAAGCGGGCTGTCATGTGCCTTTTACTGAGGAGTGGCTTCCGTCTGGCCACTACCATAAAGGCCTGATTGGTGGAGTGCTGCAGAGATGGTTGTCCTTCTGGAAGGTTCTCCCATCTCCACAGAGGAACTCTGGAGCTCTGTCTGAGTGACCATCGGGTTCTTGGTCACCTCCCTGACCAAGGCCCTTCTCCCTCGATTGCTCAGCTCTAGGAAGAGTCTTGGTGGTTCCAAAGTTCTTCAATTTAAGAATGATGCAGGCCACTTTGTTCTTGTGAACCTTCAATGCTGCCCAGATCTGTGCCTCGACACAATCCTGTCTCAGAGCTCTACGGCCAATTTCTTCGACCTCATGGCTTAGTTTCTGCTCTGACATGTACTGTCAACTGTGGGACCTTATATAGACAGGTGTGTGCCTTTCCAAATCATGTCCAATCAATTGAATTTACCACCGGTGGACACCAATCAAGTTGTAGAAACATCTCAAGGATGATCAATGGAAACAGGATGCACCTGAGCTCAATTTCGAGTCTCATAGCAAAGGATCTGAATACTGATGTAAATAAGGTATGTCTGTTTTTGTTTTGTTTTTTTATTAGCAAACTTTCTTCTTTTTTTTTTTTTTTTACTGTTTTTGCTTTGTCATGATGGGGTATTGTGTGTATTAAAAAATAAAAATAAGAATAAGGCTGTAAAGTAAAAAAAATTGGAAAAAGGGAAGTGGTCTAAATACTTTCCGAATGCACTGTACATAATGTATATCATCAGGTTTTCCAAAAAAAAACTTCCCAGTTGGAAGACTATAGATTTCCTGCGTTTTTTTCCCATCCTGATTCTGCGAATCTTCCAAACGGGATTTCTGGAAATCGTGGGATTTTTAAACCAGAATTTTGCAAACCTAATCTTCATCATCATCAGTATTGAACGTACCTGGTTTGAGTGACAGCAGGCTGGCGGGGGAGAGACTGGTGCCAGCGAAGAAGGGAAACACACACCTCTCCACATCCCCTGTTCCTACACAGAGATCATCATCATTATCCCACCCCACCACACACACACCTCTCCACATCCCCTGTTCCTACACAGAGATCATCATCATTATCCCACCCCACCACACACACCTCTCCACATCCCCTGTTCCTACACAGAGATCATCATCATTATCCCTAACCACCACACACACCTCTCCATATCCCCTGTTCCTACACAGAGATCATCATCATTATCCCACCCCACCACACACACCTCTCCACATCCCCTGTTCCTACACAGAGATCATCATCATTATCCCTAACCACCACACACACCTCTCCACATCCCCTGTTCCTACACAGAGATCATCATCATTATCCCACCCCACCACACACACCTCTCCACATCCCCTGTTCCTACACAGAGATCATCATCATTATCCCTAACCACCACACACACCTCTCCACATCCCCTGTTCCTACACAGAGATCATCATCATTATCCCTAACCACCACACCTCTCCACATCCCCTGTTCCTACCCAGAGATCATCATCATTATCCCACCCCACCACACACACACCTCTCCACATCCCCTGTTCCTACTCAGAGATCATCATCATTATCCCACCCCACCACACACACCTCTCCACATCCCCTGTTCCTACACAGAGATCATCATCATTATCCCACCCCAACACACACACCTCTCCACATCCCCTGTTCCTACACAGAGATCATCATCATTATCCCACCCCACCACACACACCTCTCCACATCCCGTTCCTACAGAGATCATCATCATTATCCCACCCCACCACACACACCTCTCCACATCCCCTGTTCCTACACAGATATCATCTTCATTATCCCACCCCACCACACACACCTCTCCACATCCCCTGTTCCTACACAGAGATCATCTTCATTATCCCACCCCACCACACACACCTCTCCACATCCCCTGTTCCTACACAGAGATCATCATCATTATCCCACCCCACCACACACACCTCTCCACATCCCCTGTTCCTACACAGAGATCATCATCATTATCCCACCCCACCACACACACCTCTCCACATCCCCTGTTCCTACTCAGAGATCATCTTCATTATCCCAACCCACCACACACACCTCTCCACATCCCCTGTTCCTACACAGAGATCATCATCATTATCCCACCCCACCTCTCCACATCCCCTGTTCCTACACAGAGATCATCATCATTATCCCACCCCACCACACACACCTCTCCACATCCCATTCCTACACAGAGATCATCATCATTATCCCACCCCACCACACACACACACACACCTCTCCACATCCCCTGTTCCTACACAGAGATCATCATCATTATCCCACCCCACCACACACACCTCTCCACATCCCGTTCCTACACAGAGATCATCATCATTATCCCACCCCCACCACACACACCTCTCCACATCCCGTTCCTACACAGAGATCATCATCATTATCCCACCCCACCACACACTCCCACCCCTACCCACCACAAACACCTCTCCACATCCCGTTCCTACACAGAGATCATCATCATTATCCCACCCCACCACACAAACCTCTCCACATCCCCTGTTCCTACAGAGATCATCATCATTATCCCACCCCACCACACACACCTCTCCACATCCCCTGTTCCTACACAGAGATCATCATAATTATCCCACCCCACCACACACACCTCTCCACATCCCCTGTTCCTACACAGAGATCATCATCATTATCCCACCCCACCACACACACCTCTCCACATCCCCTGTTCCTACACAGAGATCATCATCATTATCCCACCCCACCACACACACACACACCTCTCCACATCCCCTGTTCCTACTCAGAGATCATCTTCATTATCCCTAACCACCACACACACCTCTCCACATCCCCTGTTCCTACTCAGAGATCATCATCATTATCCCACCCCACCACACACACACACCTCTCCACATCCCCTGTTCATACACAGAGATCATTTTCATTATCCCTAACCACCACACACACCTCTCCACATCCCCTGTTCCTACACAGAGATCATCATCATTATCCCACCCCACCACACACACACCTCTCCACATACCCTGTTCCTACACAGAGATCATCATCATTATCCCACCCCACCACACACACACCTCTCCACATCCCCCGTTCCTACTCAGAGATCATCATCATTATCCCACCCCACCACACACACACCTCTCCACATCCCCTGTTCCTACTCAGAGATCATCATCATTATCCCACCCCACCACACACACCTCTCCACATCCCGTTCCTACACAGAGATCATCATCATTATCCCACCCCACCACACACACACACACACCTCTCCACATCCCCTGTTCCTACTCAGAGATCATCTTCAATATCCCACCCCACCACACACACCTCTCCACATCCCCTGTTCCTACACAGAGATCATCTTCATTATCCCACCCCACCACACACCTCTCCACATCCCCTGTTCCTACAGAGATCATCATCATTATCCCACCCCACCACACACACCTCTCCACATCCCCTGTTCCTACCCAGAGATCATTATCCCACCCCACCACACACACCTCTCCACATCCCCTGTTCCTACTCAGAGATCATCATCATTATCCCACCCCACCACACACCTCTCCACATCCCCTGTTCCTACTCAGAGATCATCATCATTATCCCACCCCACCACACACCTCTCCACATCCCCTGTTCCTACTCAGAGATCATCATCATTATCCCACCCCACCACACACACCTCTCCACATCCCCTGTTCCTACTCAGAGATCATCCATCATTATCCCACCACACACACACACACCTCTCCACATCCCGTTCCTACACAGAGATCATCATCATTATCCCACCCCACCACACACACCTCTCCACATCCCGTTCCTACACAGAGATCATCATCATTATCCCAACCCACCACACACACTCCAACACACTCCCACCGCACCACACACACTCCACACTCCCACCGCACCACACACACACCACTCACCACACACACACAGTCCCTTCCCACAGACACACTGACCTGTTCCAACGTACAGACTCCCCAGGCGGGGTGGCAGGCTGAGAGGTCGAAGAGGAGTCCCTCCATCCATCCCTCCTCCTCCTACATACACCAATACGTTTATAACATTAATGTGCACCACAGTTACTTCTTGATATTACCCTTAAAACTACTACTACTACTACTGTTATTACTACTAATACTGCTGCTACTACTACTGCTACTAATACTGCTGCTACTACTACTACTACTACTACTAATACGGTTACTGCTACTACTACTACTACTACTACTACTACTACTGTTATTACTACTAATACTGCTACTGCTAATACTACTACTACTACTACTACTACTACTACTATGACTACTGTTATTACTACTAATACTGCTGCTACTACTACTACTACTGCTACTGCTACTACTACTACTACTACTACTAATACGGTTACTGCTACTACTACTACTACTACTACTAATACGGTTACTGCTACTACTACTACTACTACTACTACTACTGTTATTACTACTAATACTGCTACTGCTAATACTACTACTACTACTACTACTACTACTACTACTATGACTACTGTTATTACTACTAATACTGCTGCTACTACTACTACTACTGCTACTGCTACTACTACTACTGCTACTACTTTGATTGTCGTAGCTATCAATTGTCCTGTTAGCGATTGCCCATATTAGCACACTTATTTAAGTTCAAACTTCACATTTCTCTAGTAAAGGCTACTAATATATCAGTACAATGTCCTCTATAAGTGGTCAGTTCATTCATTGTTAATCATCTGGGGTATATTTACCTCCTCCCATCATGCCTCCATCCTCACGGCCCTGGAAGAGAAAACCCCCGGTGGAGGACACGTCGCCGTAGGGACCCACAAGGTTACCGTTACCGACATAACCACGGTTACTGAACCGTCGCCCGCCCTCTTTACTGAAGGAGGAAGAAGAGGAAGATTACTTTATCCATTTTCACAAGGCCAAACACACACACAAAAGGTTGGAGCCGAGCAATTCTAGGGGTTAAGTGCCGCCTTGCTCAAGGGCACATCCCATCGGTGCTGGGAGTCGAACCGGCAACCCTTCGGTAGCTGACTCACCTCTAACTACCATACCTTTCATCCGTTTGTGTTTTATCAGTTTACTGTTTAACTGTAAAGTGTGTGGCATTTTAAATAAAGTTTGATTTGATTTACCTGACAGGCTTGGCGAGGGTGACCTCGATGGTGGCCCCGTCGATCTGCGCTCCGTTCATCAGGTGTAACGCCGTCACTGCGTCTTCACGGGAGTGGTAGTGGACAAACGCATAGTCTGTCAGTTTCTACAGGAGAACAGGAAAACATAGAAACAGAAACATACTGTTGGAAACCAGAAAGAAACATACCGTTGAAACCAGAAAGAAACATACTGTTGAAACCAGAAAGAAACATACTGTTGAAAACAGAAAGAAACATACTGTTGAAAACAGAAAGAAACATACTGTTGAAACCAGAAAGAAACATACTGTTGGAAACCAGAAAGAAACATACCGTTGAAACCAGAAAGAAACATACTGTTGAAACCAGAAAGAAACATACTGTTGAAACCAGAAAGAAACATACTGTTGAAACCAGAAAGAAACATACGGTTGAAAACAGAAAGAAACATACTGTTGAAAACAGAAAGAAAAGTGTCTTCTTGCTTTCAACCCAACCACCGGAGACACGTCACACACCCCCTCAAGACGTTGACAGAGAAATGTATTGGTTGACTGATTTTGTCAGCCGATTTTGGCCTTTCAGAAGAGAATAGAGAGGAGGAAGAGAGAGGAGAAGACTACTTTATTTAGCAGTCCACATACATTAATTTTTTCCTTTCAACCCAATCCCAAGACATCCACCCTCAAAAAGGTTTGAAGTAGAGCCTGAAAGATGTTATTGGCCTTTCACAGATAACTCGGTATCTGGCTTTACTCTGCTGATAAAACACTTTGTTTACCCAATTCAACAGGTCAATTTAAGGCAGTTTTGAGACAAAATAAGGCCCCAAATATTGATGAATAAAATTGATTTCAAGAATTCCGCAAGAATGACACAGACAGACCCCAATACCTTGACTCTCTCCACAGTGCCAGGTTTGAATCTAGAGAACTCCTGTCGCAGTGTTTCTTCAGTAGTCGTCATCATCAGGTTTCTAAAGAAGAAGTTGACGTAGTCAATTGTCAACGGGGACATAGAGAGTAGTCGTCTTTTTGCTTGACCCCCACCCCCCCCCCATGCCCAACACACACACACATTACACGTGCTAGGGTGTGAAAAGTTTGAACGTTAAAAAAACGAAATTAGGATCCTTAACGTTTAAAAAAATCCCTGACGGAGAAACAACGTTTTTTTTTTGTCCCCCCCCCCCCCCCCCCACAACGAAATTCTCATCATAATGCAGCTGGCTCGCCTGCTCTTTCACTTTGCTAAAGATGCCAGTGTGTGTTCAGTCGTTGGTCTGTTGCCTGTAGAATATCCTAGTCTATTCATTGATGATAAGCCCTGTTTTACTGAAGTTGCAAGAAATTGTGAGATGCAGCTTTTGATTGCTGATAGATAGGCCTAGTGCACGGTTCTGTCTGTCTGGTGGCTGACCTGCCTATACTGATAGATAGGCCTAGTGCACGGTTCTGACTGTCTGGTGGCTGATCTGCCTATACTGATAGATAGGCCTAGTGCACGGTTCTGACTGTCTGACTGGTGGCTGACCTGCCTATACTGATAGATAGGCCTAGTGCACGGTTCTGTCTGTCTGGTGGCTGACCTGCCTATACTGATAGATAGGCCTAGTGCAGGGTTCTGTCTGTCTGGTGGCTGACCTGCCTATACTGATAGATAGGCCTAGTGCAGGGTTCTGTCTGTCTGGTGGCTGACCTGCCTATACTGATAGATAGGCCTAGTGCACGGTTCTGACTGTCTGGTGGCTGACCTGCCTATACTGATAGATAGGCCTAGTGCACGGTTCTGACTGTCTGGTGGCTGACCTGCCTATACTGATAGATAGGCCTAGTGCACGGTTTCTGACTGTCTGGTGGCTGACCTGCCTATACTGATAGATAGGCCTAGTGCACGGTTCTGACTGTCTGGTGGCTGACCTGCCTATACTGATAGATAGGCCTAGTGCACGGTTCTGACTGTCTGGTGGCTGACCTGCCTATACTGATAGATAGGCCTAGTGCACGGTTCTGACTGTCTGGTGGCTGACCTGCCTATACTGATAGATAGGCCTAGTGCACGGTTCTGTCTGTCTGGTGGCTGACCTGCCTATACTGATAGATAGGCCTAGTGCACGGTTCTGACTGTCTGGTGGCTGACCTGCCTATACTGATAGATAGGCCTAGTGCACGGTTCTGACTGTCTGGTGGCTGACCTGCCTATACTGATAGATAGGCCTAGTGCACGGTTCTGACTGTCTGTCTGGTGGCTGACCTGCCTATACTGATAGATAGGCCTAGTGCACGGTTCTGACTGTCTGGTGGCTGATCTGCCTATACTGGATCTGACTGTCTGGTGGCTGATCTGCCTATACTGATAGATAGGCCTAGTGCACGGTTCTGACTGTCTGGTGGCTGACCTGCCTATACTGATAGATAGGCCTAGTGCATGGTTCTGACTGTCTGTCTGGTGGCTGACCTGCCTATACTGATAGATAGGCCTAGTGCACGGTTCTGTCTGTCTGGTGGCTGATCTGCCTATACTGATAGATAGGCCTAGTGCACGGATCTGACTGTCTGGTGGCTGATCGATAGGCCTAGTGCACGGTTCTGACTGTCTGGTGGCTGACCTGCCTATACTGATAGATAGGCCTAGTGCACGGTTCTGACTGTCTGGTGGCTGACCTGCCTATACTGATAGATAGGCCTAGTGCACGGTTCTGTCTGTCTGGTGGCTGATCTGCCTATACTGATAGATAGGCCTAGTGCACGGTTCTGTCTGTCTGGTGGCTGACCTGCCTATACTGATAGATAGGCCTAGTGCACGGTTCTGTCTGTCTGGTGGCTGACCTGCCTATATTGATAGATAGGCCTAGTGCACGGTTCTGTCTGTCTGGTGACTGACCTGCCTATACTGATAGATAGGCCTAGTGCACGGTTCTGTCTGTCTGGTGGCTGATCTGCCTATACTGATAGATAGGCCTAGTGCACGGTTCTGTCTGTCTGGTGGCTGACCTGCCTATACTGATAGATAGGCCTAGTGCACGGTTCTGTCTGTCTGGTGGCTGACCTGCCTATATTGATAGATAGGCCTAGTGCACGGTTCTGTCTGTCTGGTGAATGACCTGCCTATACTGATAGATAGGCCTAGTGCACGGTTCTGTCTGTCTGGTGGCTGACCTGCCTATACTGATAGATAGGCCTAGTGCACGGTTCTGTCTGTCTGGTGGCTGACCTGCCTATACTGATAGATAGGCCTAGTGCACGGTTCTGTCTGTCTGGTGGCTGACCTGCCTATACTGATAGATAGGCCTAGTGCATGGTTCTGACTGTCTGGTGGCTGATCTGCCTATACGGATATAGGCCTAGTGCACGGTTCTGACTGTCTGGTGGCTGATCGATAGGCCTAGTGCACGGTTCTGTCTGTCTGGTGGCTGATCTGCCTATACTGATAGGCCTAGTGCATGGTTCTGACTGTCTGGTGGCTGATCTGCCTATACTGATAGATAGGCCTAGTGCACGGGCCTATCCTGTGCCCCTCCCCTCTCTGTCCGTCCCTCGCTAGCTCGCTATTAAAGATGTAAGTGTTGGTGTTCTCTGAAGTACGGCAACTAATCAGTCTTCTCCGTTCCAAAAATACTGAATCTTAAGGAGTCGATTCCCAGCAGAAGATGTTTTCTTTCTACTAAATGTCTTCGTATGTCAAACTTTATTAAAGTACTTTTTCAGGAGACAGTGGTCTGCCTGCGCGCAGGCAGCTCGAGATTATTTGATTGACAGGTCTGGTCGCCTAGTGATGGACGTTAGTCCCGCTTCAGAAGGGGCATTCCTTTTACAGGTAGTAAAATGTCCGTTCAGTGGTGCTTCGAAACTATCTCCAGAGAAGGTTTTGTGTCTGCATTTAAAAAGCTGCGGTGTAACAGACAAATAAACATGCCGTAGCCGAGGCGCTTTCAAAGGGATTTATGACTGGGTGGGTAGATATAAGGGGAAGGGGGATACCTAGTCAGTTGCACAACTGAATGCATTCAACTGAAATGTGTCTTCCGCATTTAACCCAACCCCTCTGAATCAGAGAGGTGCGGGGGGAGGGGCTGCCTTAATCGACATCCACGTCATCGGCGCCCGGGGAACAGTGGGTTAACTGCCTTGCTCACGGGCAGAACGACCGATGTTTGCCTTGTCAGCACGGGGATTAGATCCACCTTTCGGTTACTGACCCGACGCTCTGACCCGACGCTCTGACCCGACGCTCTGACCCAACGCTCTGACCCAACGCTCTGACCCAACGCTCTGACCCAACGCTCTGACCCAACGCTCTGACCCAACACTCTGACCCAACACTCTGACCCGCCAGGCTTTTGCCCAGCCTTAGCGGTTATACATACGTAATAGGACCATTATTCACACACACACACACAGAGAGAGAGAAACACACGCACACACCTGACGTAGAGCACTCTGACACGTAGCATGGTCTCCTCGTCAACATCCTTCTCCGGTTCGGCCCAGTCCACCTGGATAGTGTATCCCCACAGCTGGAACGTACCTGGACATTTTTTCCACCAAATTCCATTTTTCTCCATTTAGTTTTTTCAGGTTACAATTTTTCCTACGTTTTCAGGTTTTCACTCTCAAAATAAAAAATAAACTAAATAAAAAAACACCACATTTGGATGTTCTAAGTCCATTACAAACCACATCAGAACACCACTTTTGAGGTTTGGGGAAAAATCTAAAGGATTTTTGGGTGTACCCTTTACTTAAACTGCTCACCAGCCAGAGACCGTTGTATTGGTTAGCGATGTTTCATGTGATTGAAGAGTTTGCATAACAAATGGTCACTGGACTAATACAAAACAATCATGATATCATTCTGCCAGGTAGGCATAGGCTACTTTGTAGTTAACATTTAAATTTAGAAGGTTTTTTGGGAACCTACCAGATGACTGGCGTCATTCGCATCATCGCTAACGTCTACACAAAGTGTCAGACCAACGCGCTCGCACACACAGGGGCTTTCCTGTGACGTTGCCTCTTCAGAAAGTTAAAAGGACAATACAAATCACTGATGCCTTTTGTTCATGTCTTATGATAAACTTGGGCAAATTAATGAATTTCCTACTAAGTTCAATACATTTAGTTGATTTCCTACTAAGTTCAATACATTTAGTTGATTTCCTACTAAGTTCAATACATTTAGTTGATTTCCTACTAAGTTCAATACATTTAGTTGATCTCCTACTAAGTTCAATACATTTAGTTGATTTCCTACTAAGTTTAATAGATTGTTGAATATTGCTGAATTCAGTTTTAATGTCTGGATTCCGTGATTCATTCTGCGTTCACAGCAACAAAGATTTATAGGGCCCTAGCTATGGCACCATATCAATCATTTAGCTTTAGCCCCCTCCACAGTAAATCAGAGGTACTGCTACTGACTAAACTCCCAACATTTCAACTCCAGTCTTCTAGTCCCCCAACAGCACAACTCCAGTCTTCTAGTCCCCCAACAGCACAACTCCAGTCCTCTAGTCCCCCAACAGCCCAACTCCAGTCCTCAAGTCCCCCAACAGCCCAACTCCAGTCCTCTAGTCCCCCAACAGCCCAACTCCAGTCTTCTAGTCCCCCAACAGCACAACTCCAGTCTTCTAGTCCCCCAACAGCCCAACTCCAGTCTTCTAGTCCCCCAACAGCACAACTCCAGTCCTCTAGTCCCCCAACAGCCCAACTCCAGTCTTCTAGTCCCCCAACAGCACAACTCCAGTCTTCTAGTCCCCCAACAGCCCAACTCCAGTCTTCTAGTCCCCCAACAGCCCAACTCCTGTCTTCTAGTCCCCCAACAGCACAACTCCAGTCTTCTAGTCCCCCAACAGCCCAACTCCAGTCTTCTAGTCCCCCAACAGCTCAACTCCAGTCCTCTAGTCCCCCAACAGCCCAACTCCAGTCTTCTAGTCCCCCAACAGCCCAACTCCAGTCCCCAAGTCCCCCAACAGCTCAACTCCAGTCCTCTAGTCCCCCAACAGCTCAACTCCAGTCCTCTAGTCTCCCAACAGCTCAACTCCAGTCTTCTAGTCCCCCAACAGCCCAACTCCAGTCTTCTAGTCCCCCAACAGCCCAACTCCAGTCTTCTAGTCCCCCAACAGCCCAACTCCAGTCTTCTAGTCCCCCAACAGCCCAACTCCAGTCTTCTAGTCCCCCAACAGCCCAACTCCAGTCCCCAAGTCCCCCAACAGCACAACTCCAGTCCTCTAGTCTCCCAACAGCTCAACTCCAGTCCCCAAGTCCCCCAACAGCACAACTCCAGTCCCCAAGTCCCCCAACAGCACAACTCCAGTCCTCCAGTACCCCCAACAGCCCAACTCCAGTCCCCAAGTCCCCCAACAGCACAACTCCAGTCCTCTAGTCCCCCAACAGCTCAACTCCAGTCTTCTAGTCCCCCTAACAGCTCAACTCCAGTCCTCAAGTCCCCCAACAGCACAACTCCAGTCCTCTAGTCTCCCAACAGCTCAACTCCAGTCTTCTAGTCCCCCAACAGCTCAACTCCAGTCTTCTAGTCCCCCAACAGCTCAACTCCAGTCTTCTAGTCCCCCAACAGCTCAACTCCAGTCTTCTAGTCCCCCAACAGCACAACTCCAGTCTTCTAGTCCCCCAACAGCCCAACTCCAGTCCTCAAGTCCCCCAACAGCACAACTCCAGTCCTCTAGTCCCCCAACAGCCCAACTCCAGTCCTCAAGTCCCCCAACAGCACAACTCCAGTCCTCTAGTCTCCCAACAGCTCAACTCCAGTCTTCTAGTCCCCCAACAGCACAACTCCAGTCCTCTAGTCTCCCAACAGCTCAACTCCAGTCTTCTAGTCTCCCAACAGCACAACTCCAGTCTTCTAGTCCCCCAACAGCCCAACTCCAGTCCTCAAGTCCCCCAACAGCACAACTCCAGTCCTCTAGTCCCCCAACAGCCCAACTCCAGTCTTCTAGTCTCCCAACAGCCCAACTCCAGTCCCCAAGTCCCCCAACAGCACAACTCCAGTCCCCAAGTCCACCAACAGCACAACTCCAGTCTTCTAGTCCCCCAACAGCCCAACTCCAGTCCTCTAGTCCCCCAACAGCACACATTTACACTACCGTTCAAAGGTTTGGGGTCACTTAGAAATGTCCTTGTTTTCGGAAGAAAAGCAATTTTTTTGTCCATTAAAATAACATCAAATTGATCAGAAATACAGTGTAGACATTGTTAATGTTGTAAATGGCTATTGTAGCTGGAAACGGCTGATTTTTTATGGAATATCTACATAAGCGTACAGAGGCACCATTATCAGCAACCATCAGTCCTGTGTTCCAATGGCACGTTGTGTTTGCTAATCCAAGTTTATCATTTTAAAAGACTAATTGATCATTAGAAAACCCTTTTGCAATTATGTTAGCACAGCTGAAAACTGTTGTGCTGATTAAAGAAGCAATAAAACTGGCCTTCTTGAGACTAGTTGAGTATCTGGAGCATCGGCAATTGTGGGTTCGATTACAGGCTCAAAATGGCCAGTTTCTTCTGAAACTCGTCAGTCTATTCTTGTTCTGAGAAATGAAGGCTATTCCAATGCGAGAAATTGCCAAGAAACTGAAGATCTCGTACAACGCTGTGTACTACTCCCTTCACAGAACAGCGCAAACTGGCTCTAACCAGAATAGAAAAAGGAGTGGGAGGCCCCGGTGCACAACTGAGCAAGAGGACAAATACATTAGAGTGTCTAGTTTCAGAAACAGACGCCTCTAATGTGTGTGTGTGTGTAAAATCAAATCAAAGTTTATTGGTGTGTGTGTATACCTGGTATTAGTTTCCTCCGTGCCATGGCAGCTGCTTTGTGAGAGTCGTACTCAACGAAGGCAAACCCTCTGTTCTTAGTCTTGTCTGTAGAGCTTGGGTAGACTATGACATCTACCACTCCTTCTGTTACCTAGACAACACACACCGATTGATACACAGTGTGAGTGTGTGTGCACGCCACTCACCAGGTTGTGTGTAATGTGTGTGTGTGTGTGTGTGTGTGTCAAGGGCGGGATCTGATCCCTGGTCTCCCACAGGAGAAACCAACGTCTTGACTATTAGACCAAGAGGAAATTCCCTACCTCATTACAAAACCATGATGTTAGCCCACCTCATGTCTGCTAGATGTGATCACACTAACCTTCCTCATGACGTTAGCCCACCTCATGTCTGCTAGATGTGATCACACTAACCTTCCTCATGACGTTAGCCCACCTCATGTCTGCTAGATGTGATCACACTAACCTTCCTCATGACGTTAGCCCACCTCATGTCTGCTAGATGTGATCACACTAACCTTCCTCATGACGTTAGCCCACCTCATGTCTGCTAGATGTGATCACACTAACCTTCCTCATGACGTTAGCCCACCTCATGTCTGCTAGATGTGATCACACTAACCTTCCTCATGACGTTGGCCCACCTCATGTCTGCTAGATGTGATCACACTAACCTTCCTCATGACGTTAGCCCACCTCATGTCTGCTAGATGTGATCACACTAACCTTCCTCATGACGTTAGCCCACCTCATGTCTGCTAGATGTGATCACACTAACCTTCCCCATGACGTTAGCCCACCTCATGTCTGCTAGATGTGATCACACTAACCTTCCTCATGACGTTAGCCCACCTCATGTCTGCTAGATGTGATCACACTAACCTTCCTCATGACGTTAGCCCACCTCATGTCTGCTAGATGTGATCACACTAACCTTCCTCATGACGTTAGCCCCACCTCATGTCTGCTAGATGTGATCACACTAACCTTCCTCATGACGTTAGCCCACCTCATGTCTGCTAGATGTGATCACACTAACCTTCCCCATGACGTTAGCCCACCTCATGTCTGCTAGATGTGATCAGACTAACCTTCCTCATGACGTTAGCCCACCTCATGTCTGCTAGATGTGATCACACTAACCTTCCTCATGACGTTAGCCCACCTCATGTCTGCTAGATGTGATCACACTAACCTTCCTCATGACGTTAGCCCACCTCATGTCTGCTAGATGTGATCACACTAACCTTCCTCATGACGTTAGCCCACCTCATGTCTGCTAGATGTGATCACACTAACCTTCCTCATGACGTTAGCCCACCTCATGTCTGCTAGATGTGATCACACTAACCTTCCTCATGACGTTAGCCCACCTCATGTCTGCTAGATGTGATCACACTAACCTTCCTCATGACGTTAGCCCACCTCATGTCTGCTAGATGTGATCACACTAACCTTCCTCATGACGTTGGCCCACCTCATGTCTGCTAGATGTGATCACACTAACCTTCCTCATGACGTTAGCCCACCTCATGTCTGCTAGATGTGATCACACTAACCTTCCTCATGACGTTAGCCCACCTCATGTCTGCTAGATGTGATCACACTAACCTTCCTCATGACGTTAGCCCACCTCATGTCTGCTAGATGTGATCACACTAACCTTCCTCATGACGTTAGCCCACCTCATGTCTGCTAGATGTGATCACACTAACCTTCCTCATGACGTTAGCCCACCTCATGTCTGCTAGATGTGATCACACTATCCTTCCTCATGACGTTAGCCCACCTCATGTCTGCTAGATGTGATCACACTAACCTTCCTCATGACGTTAGCCCACCTCATGTCTGCTAGATGTGATCACACTAACCTTCCTCATGACGTTAGCCCACCTCATGTCTGCTAGATGTGATCACACTAACCTTCCTCATGACGTTAGCCCACCTCATGTCTGCTAGATGTGATCACACTAACCTTCCTCATGACGTTAGCCCACCTCATGTCTGCTAGATGTGATCACACTAACTAGGGGTGTAACGATTCGTTTTAACAACGATTCGATTTGTATCACGATTCGTGGTTGTCGATACGATTCAAGGACGATATTGGTTCATTTAGAACGATACGATCCGAAACGATTCAGTGACTTGAAATCGATTCAGTAACCTTTTAGCCAAAAATTCAACCAGTGTGACTGAAATAAATACCTGGTAACCAGTTGCATTTTAATGGCTGGCAATAGTCTTGATATTTTTAACAGTGTTTCATGACTCCATGCAGACCATCTGGTATTATGAAACTTACCAAAAGTCTCACAAGTCCGTCTGTTATGGCCTGTGCGGTTCGGTCAGCACCCAATTCAATCAGTCCAATAAAGTCCGAAGTAAACTCTCCGTTGCTGGACACAGACACAATGTAAACTATTTCCTGCTCAGTTTTTGTGATGTCCTCAGATCCATCAAAAAGCATTCAGTAAATGAACATCCTCAGAATAGGAAGACATGGGACGTGCGTGTTTAGCTTTATGGAAAGAGAAAAATATTAAACAGAGCTTGCCGCTGTTCTTCATTCAGCTTGTCTCGCTATCTGGCAAGTGGGCGACTGGACATTTATTCTCGGCTAGCTTTTAGCAATGGCTTGCGCCACATTCGTGTGCTCCTTGCTCTTTTCATGTTTGTCAAATAAAGGATGGTTGAAATTCTTTGAGCCTTTATAAAATGCACCTGTTTTGTCTGCTAGATGTGGATTTGAGCGGAAAATCTTGCACCACATTTCAGTGCGCTCATCGTTAGCTTAAGCCACTTTTCCGAAAAAAGTATTTTCTTCGGCTCTGGCTCCAGTTGGCGTTTCTTTGTAGGTGGCGAAACGCCAAAGAAGCTTCTTAATGTCTGTTGCTTTTTGGACATCCCTGACAGTAGTTGACAAGCAACATGTCATGTGTAAGGTTAGATGAGAAGATCGGTCAAGTACGCAAAGGCGCGTAGTAACACAAGTGGCATTACGCATTCCTGATTTTTGTCGCGCTTGCGTATCTGCGTACCAGTTATGTGCACCCCTGCATATAAAGTCTGACGTGCTTAAATCCAATGGGTTATTTCCTAGTATCGATACAATCGATTTATTACATTTTAAAACGATGTTAGATCGATATATGTTGTCCAAAAGGCCAACTCGCCGAGCACAGATCGATGTAGTTGGATCATATGAATATAAATCGATACATCGATGTAGTAGATGGATCGTTACACCCCTAACACTAACCTTCCTCATGACGTTAGCCCACCTCATGTCTGCTAGATGTGATCACACTAACCTTCCTCATGACGTTAGCCCACCTCATGTCTGCTAGATGTGATCACACTAACCTTCCTCATGACGTTAGCCCACCTCATGTCTGCTAGATGTGATCACACTATCCTTCCTCATGACGTTAGCCCACCTCATGTCTGCTAGATGTGATCACACTAACCTTCCTCATGACGTTAGCCCACCTCATGTCTGCTAGATGTGATCACACTAACCTTCCTCATGACGTTAGCCCACCTCATGTCTGCTAGATGTGATCAGACTAACCTTCCTCATGACGTTAGCCCACCTCATGTCTGCTAGATGTGATCAGACTAACCTTCCTCATGACGTTAGCCCACCTCATGTCTGCTAGATGTGATCACACTAACCTTCCTCATGACGTTAGCCCACCTCATGTCTGCTAGATGTGATCACACTATCCTTCCTCATGACGTTAGCCCACCTCATGTCTGCTAGATGTGATCACACTAACCTTCCTCATGACGTTAGCCCACCTCATGTCTGCTAGATGTGATCACACTAACCTTCCTCATCTCCACTAGTATTTCCTCCTTCATCTTGTCTTTAGGTATGGACCCTATAAAAAAACAGGGAGAGCATTCCTATCCATTAGTAAATGTGGCTATCAAAAATCTAAAATAACACATGAGCGTCATTTTCCACTGCTGAAATAGACATATGAGTTCAGACAACATTGTGTTGTGATAGTGTTGAAGTCATTCCTACCTCTGAACAGTCTACAGTTGTCCAGACTAACACACACACACACACACACACACACACACACACACACACACACCTATAAACTTCCCTGATCTGATATCATGGTTGAGTTGTAGGTTTGGGCGATATTTGGGCAGTCCCCCTCTACGATATGCTTCTCCGAATATCCCAATATCTGATATAAATCGGTTTGCGACGTTAATGACTAGATGATTCCAATTTTTGTTTTTATTTAGGATATTACAGTCGCATTCTCATTAAACAATCTTAGTATGGCAAAAAAAAAAATAAGGCTTAGTTAATTAATTTAGACTTCATCTAACATATTGATATAGCCTAACTGATAAAACTGCACAGTACTGATTTGCTAAGTTCAAATATAGAGTATAGTCTTCACCATCACAATATATCGTCTTGCACGTCACGATATATTGTCAACGTCAAATATCACGATATTAGATTGAATCATATAAATCGGCCCAACCCCATCGTGTTGCGATAGTGTTGAAGTCATTCCTACCTATGAACAGTCTACAGTTGTCCAGACTGACACACACTCCTATAAACTTCCCTGGTCTGATCTCATGGTTGTCTAGGAGGTGGATGGATCTCTGAGCTGCCTCTCTGTACACACAGGAAGGGGGAGAAGGATGAGAGAGAGAGAGAGACAGAGACACAGAGAGAGAGAGAGAGAGAGGGGGGGAGAGAGAGAGAGAGAGAGAGGGAGAGAGAGAGAGAGAAACCACAGTGTGCCATCACAGCTGCAAGATTTGTGACCTGTTGCCACAAGAAAAGGGCAACCAGTGAAGAACAAACACCATTGTAAATACAACCTATATTTATGTTTATTTATTTTCCCATTTGTACTTTAACTATTTGCACATTGTTACAACACTGTATATATACATAATATGACATTTGAAATGTCTTTATTCTTTTGAAACTTCTGAGTGTAATGTTTACTGTTAATATTTATTGTTTATTTCACTTTTGTTTACTATCTACTTCACTTGCTTTGGCAATGTTAACACACGTTTCCCATGCCAATAAAGCCCTTAAATTGAAATTGAATTGACAGAGAGAGAGAGAGAGAGAGAGAGAGAGAGAGAGAGAGAGAGAGAGAGAGAGAGAGAGAGAGAGAGACAGAGAGAGACAGAGAGAGACAAAGACAGAGAGAGACAGAGAGAGAGAGAGAGAGACAGAGAGAGAGAGACAGAGAGATAATGAGACAGAGAGATAGAGAGAGAGAGAAAGAATCCCTACCTGGTAGTGTACATGACGAAAGCGTAGCCCCGGTTCTCTCCACTAAACTCCATCATCAGTCTGAACTCATAGATCCTCCCAGCTCTCTCAAACACTGGCACCAACTCATCTTCATACATGTCCCTAGGGATCTTACCTTAGATAACACACACACACAAAGATTCTCCCCGGCTCTCGTATCATCATTATACACTTATACCGATGTGTGTGTGTGTTAACAGGTTAGATGTGGTTCCTTACCTACAAACACCTCACACCCTCGTGGGGGAGGAGGGCCTTCCCAACCTGGGGGGGGGGGGGGGGGGGGGGGGGGGTGGGGGGTGAAGAGAGAGAGAGGAGAGAGCTAGAGAGAGAGAGGAGATAGAGAGACTCGAGAGCATTTTCTCTCTCTCTCTCGCTCTCTCCTCTCTCTCTCTGCTCTTCTCTCTCTCGAGAGAGAATCGCTTAAGGTCATCATGCCTGTATTAATCACTCATAATCTAATTACCAAAGCTAATGGGAAGGTGCAAAGTTTACTTCACTTCAATGTCAGTAGATATGGAGCCACTCCTAACAGCCTAACTTTCCACCTCCTCATCATCATTTAACAATCAGTAGATATGGAGCCACTCCTAACAGCCTAACGTTCCACCTCCTCATCATTTAACAATCAGTAGATATGGAGCCACTCCTAACAGCCTAACTTTCCACCTCCTCATCATCATTTAACAATCAGTAGATATGGAGCCACTCCTAACAGCCTAACGTTCCACCTCCTCATCATTTAACAATCAGTAGATATGGAGCCACTCCTAACAGCCTAACGTTCCACCTCCTCATCATTTAACAATCAGTAGATATGGAGCCACTCCTAACAGCCTAACTTTCCACCTCCTCATCATCATTTAACAATCAGTAGATATGGAGCCACTCCTAACAGCCTAACGTTCCACCTCCTCATCATTTAACAATCAGTAGATATGGAGCCACTCCTAACAGCCTAACGTTCCACCTCCTCATCATTTAACAATCAGTAGATATGGAGCCACTCCTGACAGCCTAACGTTCCACCTCCTCATCATCATTTAACAATCAGTAGATATGGAGCCACTCCTAACAGCCTAACGTTCCACCTCCTCATCATTTAACAATCAGTAGATATGGAGCCACTCCTGACAGCCTAACGTTCCACCTCCTCATCATCATTTAACAATCAGTAGATATGGAGCCACTCCTAACAGCCTAACGTTCCACCAAATCATCATTTAACAATCAGTAGATATGGAGCCACTCCTAACAGCCTAACGTTCCACCAAATCATCATTTATCAATCAGTAGATATGGAGCCACTCCCATTTTACATTTACATTTTAGTCATTTAGCAGACGCTCTTAACCAGAGCGACTTACAGGAGCAATTAGGGTTAAGTGCCTTGCTCAAGGGCACATTAACGTCATTTAGCAGACGCTCTTAGCCAGAGCGACTCACAAATTGGTGCGTTCACCCTATAGCCAGTGGGATAACCACTTTACAATTTGGGGGGGGGGGGGGGTTAGAAGGAATACTTTATCCTATCCCAGGTATTCCTTAAAGAGGTGGGGTTTCAAATGTCTCCGGAAGGTGGTGAGTGACTCCGCTGTCCTGGCGTCGTGAGGGAGCTTGTTCCACCATTGGGGTGCCAGAGCAGCGAACAGTTTTGACTGGGCTGAGCGGGAGCTGTGCTTCCGCAGAGGAAGGGGAGCCAGCAGGCCAGAGGTGGATGAACGCAATGTCCTCGTTTGGGTGTAGGGACTGATCAGAGCCTGAAGGTACAGAGGTGCCGTTCCCCTCACTGCTCCATAGGCAAGCACTCCCAACAGCCTAACGTTCCACCTCCTCATCTTTTAACAATCAGTAGATATGGAGCCACTCCTGACAGCCTAACATTCCACATCCTCATCATTTAACAATCAGTAGATATGGAGCCACTCCCAACAGCCTGTCTTTCACTACAGACGTTAGTCTGAGGCTGCCATCATTGAAGTTGTTTGTGGTGAAGAGGGGCGTTGTACTCAGCGATTGGATCGTCTCTAACCAATCTGAGTATCAAAGCCAATGATGAATTTTCAAACCGCCTCTTTACCCACGTGTGTTCTGGCTCTGGCCCAAACCATCGGTTTCTGGACCAATCAGAACGGTTAGAATGTGTTTGCATTCAGTGAAGGGTCAGGGAGGTAGTCAGATCCAGCCTCATTACGAAGAAGAAACTAACATGGGCGTGGTGTAGCGCTTGGCCAGAACAAGGAATCTGGGTAGCCATACAAGAGTCTAGCTCAATCAAAGTCTTAATCGGCTTAAGGTCAAAATCGTAGTAAGCGTATGCTGATTAAAACATCTGGTTTTCTGAGCAACCTTTCGAATTATTAGGACATGTAAACACCTTAATTGCCTTTCCAGCAGTGTATTTGACCTGCGCATGTACTAACACTAGCCTAGCGAGCCTCCCTCTTTAGCGTGAGTAAAGTGAGTTCGGAACAACTGAATGAATGTATGCGTCTTAGAAGTAGTTTTCACATACTATGTCCAAACTCAGAATGAAATATGCTTCCCAAAAATAACATTGTTCCATGTAAACATGATTATTAGGGAAATCCTTCTTCTTGCAAAGGTTTTAATCTAACTATTATATTAATCTGACTATCCATAATAATCGCATTATTGTGTGCATGTAACCCTACTCTTACACACCCACAATGAGTAACTATCTTCTCTCTCTCAGGCCTACCAGTTGATTTTCAACCACAGTTGTTAACTTACACACTGTCTCTCGCTCACACCTCCCTCTCACACAACGTTAAGCCCACACACACCTGGAGGCGGTCCGCCGAACTTCCTCTGTCCATTCTCCTGTACCATGCTGTATCCAGTGTTCTCCATCAGCGCTAGTAGCGCAGCCTCGTTGGGGCTCTCCATCCTCCCGTCCTCCCCCATCAGACTACCGCCGTCTCCATCCATGGTTAGCTAACGTTGGAAGACTGGCTGGCTGGCTGGCTGGCTGACGTTTGGGAATTCCGTTAAATACTTCAGTGGTTTATAAAGTTTTCCATGTTTTCAGTTTTGTCTTTGGTTTAGCTAGCTAGCAAATGATGTGGATTTGTCAGTGATTGGATTTTCGAAATTAGGTTTTGACAACAAATATATAGCTAGTTATGTTAGTAGCAAAGTTATTAATAGTTTGGTCAGTTCATGACAGTTAAATAGCCTAAAGCTAGATGAAACAAATTCGTATAAACCACGGTCTTTGCCAGATACAGTAGCTACAATTTACCGGCGACGTTACTATTACTTTAGCTAGTTAGGCGGGAATTAATGCTAGCTAGCTAGACAACTTTGCTATCAGTTAGCTAGCTCGACGATTGATTAATAAAAATCAAAAAGCCGCTTACCTCAGTCGTAAATATATGTATTATAGGTAAACCCCGGGGATTGATCAATGTATAGCGTCTGTGTTCAATACATCGATCAACTACCGTTAGTCAGCTACCAAATTCCCCTCAGAGAAAAATCGATCTCTTTTCCTCGAGGTGGTTTTAGTGACTGACATAGAGTGGCCTCGCTCCAGATCCAGCCAATCAGCGTGTGTTGTGAGTGCGAAAAGGCGGGATAATTGGGGTGTAGTTCGTAAACTCAGAGCGTCGTCAGAATATCCGTTCGTAAACTCAGAGCGTTTCGGCTCTCAGAGCGGACACTGGACGCTCTGGCCGAGGAGTAGGGTCGATCCGAGCGTCCTGAACCTCACAACGGCAGTCAAGCACACCAAGCTAACTGGCTAAAGTTGGCTAGCTCGCTAGCTAGCTACTTCCAAGACATAAATGAGAGAACAGCGCACTCTGTGACCATTTTACTCGAACCTAGCAGAGCTGATTAGGCTGTGTTCATGTTATCTAGAGCAGTGATTCTCAACTGGGGGGTGGATTTTAAGGGGTCGCGGGACTATAAAAAAATATATATTTTGAAAGGTAACGGCGGTACTGAGACTTTTATTTTGAAAGGATACCGCCTCACCGCTTATTGCTGCTGTCTTTACATGGTGCAGCGCGGTGGTGAAATGGCGATCTAACTTCGGACTCCGAGGGTTTTCGCTTTTTTACGCACTCAATAACTAACACAATAACGTTCACGGCCCCCCCACACACACATTGATCCAATGAAATGACAGATTTCTCGACACGGTACGCACACTTTGATCCAATAAAAATGTCACTCTGCAACATTGTTTCGTTTTAAATGTGACACGTCCAATCAGATAATATAGATCATTATTTCTGACAGCTAGCTTGATCGATAGCTAACTATGCAGACGTGTTCTGCAGGCATTGCACATGTGGATAGTTAGCTGTCATTTAAGTCATGTAGGCTAGCTGTCAGAGTAAAATCATGAGACACGTTTTTAAAACGTGCAGCTCCCCTCTTCATCTACTGCTGCTTCCCGATGTCAACAACAAGGCAGAAGAGAAAGAAGGGAAAATACGACCCCGACTTCATCAAATATGGTTTCACATTTATAGAGTACAGGCAGGGGGAGTGTAGACCGCGGTGCGTCCTATGCAACGAGATGTTAGCTAATGAGAGCATGAAACCCTCCTAAATGAAAAGGCATCTGGACACCAAGCATCCAAGCCACAAAGATGAGACAGCTGACTTAAAATTAAAAAAAATAAAAATAAATACATTCAATATCTGGTTGCCTCACAAGATTCATTGAATAATGTATGCACGGTACAAGAAAAGGCACTTCGCATTGCTAAGTGCAAAAAAGCCCACACCAGCGCAGAGTATCTCATACTCCTTGCTGCGATTGTTATGTGACCTGAAATCTTAGGAAACTTAAACCCATATCCCTATCCAATGACACCAGGAGGAGGAGAATCCAGGACATGTCTGAGGACATAACGCGCCAGACATCAGAGCGCATCAGTGCAAATGGCCGTTACGCATTGCAGCTTGACGAATCCACAGATGTGGCTAACCATGCGATTCTAAAGGTCTATGTCAGACACGTCTGGGATATTAACTTCGAGGAGCAGATTTACCCACCACTGCAGAGGCTGTCTTTAACACAATGGACATTGTAATGAAACAGGCAGGGAGCAGGTCTCGAACCCTCAACCTTCTAGCCCGAAGTCCAGCGCGCCATCGACTGTGCCCCGAAAGCATGCTCGCGTGGCAGAGTCGATATCCGCGTTTATAAACCCAGGGTCGTTACAATATGTACCTGGGCTCCGTGGGACTGGCCTGGGATGGGTGCGTCGGAGTGACCACTGATGGGGCAACTTCCATGACGGGAAAGCACTCCGGAGTAGTAAAGCGGATCCCGGAGAGAGCACCGAGTGCGACGTGGAACCACTGCTTCCTACACAGGGAGGCATTGGCAGCTAAGGACATGTTGCCTGAGCTCCACGCCACTCTCCAGGATGTGATCAAGTGTGTCAACTATATCAGAAAGAGTTCCACGAAAAGCAGGTGTTTCCAGGCCTTCTGCAGGGATATGGGGAGCGAGCACCAGCAGGTGCTTTATCATGGAGAGGTCCGCTGGAGAGGGGTAAAGTGTTGGTTGCTTTTATGAGCTTCGAGCAGAGATTGCCGCGTTTCTTTCGGAAAACAAGTCACCATCTGGCGGAACATTTCGATTGTGAGGAATGGCTCACAGGTTCCCTAGCGGATATTTTTTATCATCTGAATTCGCTCAATGTGTCCAATGCAAGGGAGGGGGCACACGCACGCACGCACACACACACACACACACACACACACACACACACACACACACACACACACACACACACACACACACACACACACACACACACACACACACACACACACAATAAATAAACAGGTTAATGAGTTATTGTTCACTATGTTCATTATTATTGTTAATGAATTCTGACATTCATATTACATGTTATTGAACTGTTTCAAAACGTACACCTTTAAAAAAAAAAACTTTTCAAGGTTGTGAAACTATTTACATGGTAATTCATGATTAACAAATTCTAATTTTTTCTTCTATTTTAAACACTGGTATGTGTTACTGTTCATTAACATTATTGGACTGGTTTTGATGTCATGTTCTGAGTCTGATCATTTATTACACCCCACCCCGGAACTGGTCGCCTACTTAAATGGCTTATTCTCTTGAATTGATAATAAATGTTTTCTCAGTTAATATGTCTGTGTAATGACTTACTTTAAAACCATAATAGTAGCCCATTGAGACGGAGTCTATTTTGCAAGTGAAGCCTGCCCAAGAAGGCAGCTGCAATAATACAACGTTACAAAATGTAATCATCAACAGTCCATAATATTGGGTCGCGACTCAATTGTCCTTGTCAAATGTGGGTCCCCAGGCAAAACCATAGAGCGTTGGTGACTGTAACTGTGCTGCTGGAAACAATTTAATTACGTTTTTTATGCGCACGTTTACTGACGCCGGTCATATTCAACTGGTGTTTCACGTTCGTAACTTCATCAGTTATTCTGCGCTCTGGCACCCTCAAACGAGAGCGCTCTGAAATCGGAGTCGATAGCCAGAGTGATTTATGAAGGGACCCAAATCCATACATTTTCCTATAAATTAATGCTTAATTTTGTCTGACTGAAAATAAATAATCACACGAACAAAACGGTGGCAATTCATTTTTAATTTTTAATTTACAGTAACATCATTCACAGTTACACAGGTCAAAATACTATACAATTCACAACTATGTAATTAATCAATGAAAATAAACATAGGGCTGAAACACATGTATTGGCATCATTACTAGGCCTTATAAGTAGTGGCGAATTATTATTAATACTTATTGAAGAAACCCTATGTCTGTCTGGTCGTCCTGTAGCCTACCTACATCCCCCCCCGTCCTGTAGCCCACCTACATCCCCCCCGTCCTGTAGCCCACCTACATCCCCCCCGTCCTGTAGCCTACCTACATCCCCCCCGTCCTGTAGCCCACCTAAATCCCCCCCCGTCCTGTAGCCTACCTACATCCCCCCCGTCCTGTAGCCCACCTACATCCCCCCCGTCCTGTAGCCTACTTACATCCCCCCCGTCCTGTAGCCTACCTACATCCCCCCCGTCCTGTAGCCCACCTACATCCCCCCCTCGTCCTGTAGCCTACCTACATCCCCCCCCCGTCCTGTAGCCTACCTACACCCCCCCCGTCCTGTAGCCTACCTACATCCCCCCCGTCCTGTAGCCTACCTACATCCCCCCCCGTCCTGTAGCCTACCTACATCCCCCCCGTCCTGTAGCCTACCTACATCCCCCCCCCCGTCCTGTAGCCTACCTACAACCCCCCCCCCCCCCGTCCTGTAGCCTACCTACACCCCCCGTCCTGTAGCCTACCTACATCCCCCCGTCCTGTAGCCTACCTACACCCCCCCCGTCCTGTAGCCTACCTACATCCCCCCCGTCCTGTAGCCTACCTAAATCCCCCCCGTCCTGTAGCCTACCTACATCCCCCCGTCCTGTAGCCTACCTACATCCCCCCCGTCCTGTAGCCTACCTACATCCCCCCGTCCTGTAGCCCACCTACTCCCCCCCGTCCTGTAGCCCACCTACATCCCCCCCTCCTGTAGCCTACCTACTCCCCCCGTCCTGTAGCCTACCTACATCCCCCCGCCCTGTAGCCTACCTACACCCCCCCCCCCCCCGTCCTGTAGCCTACCTACATCCCCCCCGTCCTGTAGCCTACCACCTACATCCCCCCCCCCCCCGCCCTGTAGCCTACCTACACCCCCCCCCCGTCCTGTAGCCTACCTACATCCCCCCGTCCTGTAGCCTACCTACATCCCCCCGTCCTGTAGCCTACCTACATCCCCCCCGTCCTGTAGCCTACCTACATCCCCCCGTCCGTAGCCTACCTACATCCCCCCCGTCCTGTAGCCTACCTACATCCCCCCCCGTCCTGTAGCCTACCTACATCCCCCCCGTCCTGTAGCCTACCTACATCCCCCCTGTCCTGTAGCCCACCTACATCCCCCCCGTCCTGTAGCCTACCTACATCCCCCCCGTCCTGTAGCCTACCTACATCCCCCCCGTCCTGTAGCCCTACCTACACCCCCCCCCCCCCGTCCTGTAGCCTACCTACATCCCCCCCCCGTCCTGTAGCCTACCTACATCCCCCCGTCCTGTAGCCTACCGACATCCCCCCCGTCCTGTAGCCTACCTACATCCCCCCCCCCGTCCTGTAGCCTACCTACATCCCCCCCGTCCTGTAGCCTACCTACACCCCCCCCGTCCTGTAGCCTACCTACATCCCCCCCCCCCCCCGTCCTGTAGCCTACCTACATCCCCCCCGTCCTGTAGCCTACCTACACCCCCCCCCGTCCTGTAGCCTACCTACATCCCCCCCCCCCCCCCGTCCTGTAGCCTACCTACATCCCCCCCGTCCTGTAGCCTACCTACATCCCCCCCCCCCCCCGTCCTGTAGCCTACCTACATCCCCCCCCGTCCTGTAGCCTACCTACATCCCCCCCGTCCTGTAGCCTACCTACACCCCCCCCGTCCTGTAGCCTACCTACATCCCTCCCCGTCCTGTAGCCTACCTACATCCCCCCCCCGTCCTGTAGCCTACCTACATCCCCCCCGTCCTGTAGCCCACCTACATCCCCCCCGTCCTGTAGCCTACCTACACCCCCCCCGTCCTGTAGCCTACCTACACCCCCCCCGTCCTGTAGCCTACCTACATCCCCCCGTCCTGTAGCCTACCTACACCCCCCCCGTCCTGTAGCCCACCTACACCCCCCCGTCCTGTAGCCTACCTACATCCCCCCGTCCTGTAGCCCACCTACACCCCCCCCCCCCCCGTCCTGTAGCCTACCTACACCCCCCCCCGTCCTGTAGCCTACCTACAACCCCCCCCCCCCCCCCGTCCTGTAGCCTACCTACACCCCCCCCCCCCCCCCGTCCTGTAGCCTACCTACATCCCCCCCCGTCCTGTAGCCCACCTACATCCCCCCCCCGTCCTGTAGCCTACCTACATCCCCCCCGTCCTGTAGCCTACCTACACCCCCCCCGTCCTGTAGCCTACCTACATCCCCCCCGTCCTGTAGCCTACCTACACCCCCCCCGTCCTGTAGCCTACCTACATCCCCCCCCGTCCTGTAGCCTACCTACATCCCCCCCCGTCCTGTAGCCTACCTACACCCCCCCCGTCCTGTAGCCTACCTACACCCCCCCCCCCCCCCCCGTCCTGTAGCCTACCTACATCCCCCCCGTCCTGTAGCCCACCTACACCCCCCCCCGTCCTGTAGCCTACCTACATCCCCCCCGTCCTGTAGCCTACCTACATCCCCCCGTCCTGTAGCCTACCTACATTCCCCCACTCACTGCATCTTTGTATAGTATCCAGTTCAAGTCCATTTTCTTTAACGGACTGCAAGGAATTTTAGTAAAATAATGTGTATTTTTCAGTCGTTTTATATTCCATTACTTCAAACCTTTCTTTCTTTCTTTCTTTCTTTCTTTCTTTCTTTCTTTCTTTCTTTCTTTCTTTCTTTCTTTCTTTCTTTCTTTCTTTCTTTCTTTCTTCACTCCAGGAGTCTAGGAGGCCATCCAGATAATAAAGGGAACCAGGATCATGACCAGGGCTGAGCAGAGAGACACTACCCCCACATAGAGCACTAGTACTGGGCCTAACACCGCTGTCAACTTGGCACTCCTCCGGCTCAGAATGAACTTCTTCACTGTCTTACAGAACTGAGAGAGATAGAAGGGGGAGAGAGATAGAGGGGGGAGAAGGGGAGAGTGATAGAGTTAGTGGGGAGATAGAGAGGGGGTGGAGAGAGAGATGAAATGTATACATTATTTATTTTCTCCAGCTGTGTGCCCTCGGGCTGTTGATAATACAGGACCCTGCCTGTCATTTATAAGATATGCCCGCTAGGGGGTGCCATAGTATCACTTAACATAATTAGTTTGTCAATCAGTTGAATTCTACGGAGTATTCTGTATTCTAGAGTTCTACTGTTCTAGTATTCTACGGTAGTTCTTCTAGAGTTCTACTCTTCTTCTAGTATTCTACGGAGTGTTCTGTATTCTAGAGTTCTACTGTTCTAGTATTTAACGGAGTGTTCTGTATTCTAGAGTTCTACTGTTCTAGTATTCTACGGAGTGTTCTGTATTCTAGAGTTCTACTGTTCTAGTATTTAACGGAGTGTTCTGTATTCTAGAGTTCTACTGTTCTAGTATTCTACGGAGTGTTCTGTATTCTAGAGTTCTACTGTTCTAGTATTCTACGGAGTGTTCTGTATTCTAGAGTTCTACTGTTCTAGTATTCTACGGAGTGTTCTGTATTCTAGAGTTCTACTGTTCTAGTATTCTATGGAGTGTTCTGTATTCTAGAGTTCTACTGTTCTAGTATTCTACGGAGTGTTCTGTATTCTAGAGTTCTACTGTTCCAGTGATAGCTTTAGTATGATCTTCCCTGTGACTGTGTGTGTGTATATAACTTCATTCATTCATTTAAATTCATTCATCCATCCATCCATCTCTTCATCCCTTCACCTCTTGCTTGGTATGTGTTAAGGTGAGTAGGTTCAGGCAGGCCAACTAGCCTCCATTTTAGTAACCAGGTGAAGGAAGGTTCCAGAATCTCGTTTGTAGATCCCATCAGACTAACTGTTGGTCAATGGGCCCATCAGGTCACAAATACACATACACATGCAAGCGCACACTGTAGGTCAACCTACAAGGGACAGGTCAGGTAGGCTATAAACATAGTACAGGTTCAGCCCATATTAGCGGCTCTCAAAGAGACAGTTTCTAATCTCAGTTAACCCAGAACTCAAATTCAGCGTAATTTGGTCAGATTTACGTAGTCTGTTCACGAGAGATTACAAAAGGTGCATCGTGTGATGAAATATAAGTCATTGTAGGTCTACTAGCTAGTTAACTACCTGTAGGTCCCTGCTACAAGGATACAGGTGAACAGATGACCTACCTGGTCTCTGTTCTGAGGTGTAAATAAGGCATGATGAGTAACCTTGTCTGAGACCTGAAGACTACAGGTCATTGGGAACATCATTCAGGCCTAACTGGACTACTATTGACCAGGCCCATAGGACCATCCATTTCGGATGCAACCCTAGTCTCTCTCTAGTCCCTTCCAAGAGGAACCTAACATAATAATAATAATAATATGCCATTTAGCAGACACTTTTATCCAAAGCGACTTACAGTCATGTGCGCATACATTTTTACATATGGGTGGTCGCGGGGATCGAACCCACTACCCTGGCGTTACAAGCGCCATGCTCTACCAATTGAGCTACAGAGGACCACATTGCATGAGACCTGAAAACTTTACCTATAATACATATATTTACCTCAGTCGTAAATATATGTATTATAGGTAAACCCTGTGGATTGATCAATTGAATTGATTGAATGATGTTCCCAATGACTACTTTACTTGTTACTAAACACTACTTTACTTGTTACTATACACTACTTTACTTGTTACTATACACTACTTTACTTGATACTATACACTACTTGTTACTATACACTACTTTACTAGTTACTTTACACTACTTTACTTGTTACTATACACTAATTTACTTGTTACTAAACACTACTTTACTTGTTACTATACACTACTTGTTACTATACACTACTTTACTTGTTACTATACACTACTTTACTTGTTACTAAACACTACTTTACTTGTTACTATACACTACTTTACTTGTTACTATACACTACTTTACTTGTTACTAAACACTACTTTTCTTGTTACTATACACTACTTTACTTGTTACTATACACTACTTTACTTGTTACTATACACTACTTGTTACTATACACTACTTTACTTGTTACTACACACTACTTTACTAGTTACTTTACACTAATTTACTTGTTACTATACACAACTTTACTAGTTACTTTACACTACTTTACTTGTTACCATACACAACTTTGCTTGTTACTAAACACTATTTTACTTGTTACTATACACTACTTGTTACTATACACTACTTTACTTGTTACTACACACTACTTTACTAGTTACTATACACTACTTGTTACTAAACACTAATTTACTTGTTACTAAACACTACTTTACTTGTTACTATACACTACTTGTTACTATACACTACTTTACTTGTTACTACACACTACTTTACTTGTTACTATACACTACTTTACTTGTTACTATACACTACTTGTTACTATACACTAATTTACTTGTTACTAAACAATACTTTACTTGTTACTATACACTACTTGTAACTATACACTACTTTACTTGTTACTACACACTACTTTACTAGTTACTTTACACTACTTTACTTGTTACTATACACTACTTTACTTGTTACTATACACTACTTTACTTGTTACTATACACTACTTTACTTGTTACTAAACACTACTTTACTTGTTACTATACACTACTTGTTACTATACACTACTTTACTTGTTACTACACACTACTTTACTAGTTACTTTACACTAATTTACTTGTTACTATACACAACTTTACTAGTTACTTTACACTACTTTACTTGTTACCATACACTACTTTACTTGTTACTAAACACTACTTTACTTGTTACTATACAATACTTGTTACTACACACTACTTTACTAGTTACTTTACACTACTTTACTTGTTACTTTACACTACTTTACTTGTTACTATACACTACTTTACTTGTTACTTTACACGACTTTACTTGTTACTATACACTACTTTACTTGTTACTATACACTACTTTACTTGTTACTAAACACTACTTTACTTGTCACTATACACTACTTTACTAGTTACTTTACACTACTTTACGTGTTACTATACACTACTTTACTTGTTACTAAACACTACTTTACTTGTTACTATACACTACTTGTTACTATACACTACTTTACTTGTTACTACACACTACTTTACTAGTTACTTTACACTACTTTACTTGTTACTATACACTACTTTACTAGTTACTTTACACTACTTTACTTGTTACCATACACTACCTTACTTGTTACTAAACACTACTTTACTTGTTACTATACACTACTTGTTACTATACACTACTTTACTAGTTACTTTACACTACTTTACTTGTTACTATACACTACTTTACTTGTTACTATACACTACTTGTTACTATACACTACTTGTTACTATACACTACTTTACTTGTTACTATACACTACTCTACTTGTTACTATACACTACTTTACTAGTTACTTTACACTACTCTACTTGTTACTACACACTACTTTACTTGTTACTATACACTACTTTACTTGTTACCATACACTACTTTACTTGTTACTAAACACTACTTTACTTGTTACTATACACTACTTTACTTGTTACTACACACTACTTTACTAGTTACTATACACTACTTTACTAGTTACTATACACTACTTTACTTGTTACTATACACTACTTTACTAGTTACTATACACTACTTTACTTGTTACTACACACTACTTTACTAGTTACTACACACTACTTTACTTGTTACTATACACTACTTTACTAGTTACTATACACTACTTTACTAGTTACTATACACTACTTTACTAGTTACTATACACTACTTTACTAGTTACTATACACTACTTTACTTGTTACTAAACACTACTTTACTTGTTACTATACACTACTTGTTACTATACACTACTTGACTTGTTACTACACACTACTTTACTTGTTACTATACACTAGTCTACTTGTTACTACACACTACTTTACTTGTTACTAAACACTACTTTACTTGTTACTATACATCAGAGGTGGTTAGTGACTGACATAAGTAACCTTGTTCCAGATCCAGCCAATCAGAAATCAGATTAATTGGTCCAGAGTGTTCTGTTTATAAGATGGATTTACTTAAAAAACTTTTATAAATTGCCTAACAAAAGTATTTGTTCCATTGTTCCTATTGTAACCACACAAGAGGCTTAACTCTATTTAATTGGCCAATGTGTTTTGCTATGGTCATTATTACCATGCAGTCATTTAGACCCTGGAAAGCACACACACACTCATGCACACACTACACACTACACACACACACACACACACAC